AGAAGCATAACAATACAACGACTAGATTTGGTGTCACAGTTTGCTCCCAATTCATACTGGAATATTGCCAGCAATAATTAATAAAGCTTGTTCAGAAAACCATTTATTCCCGACATCATATTCAATGGCTAGTTCTCAGGATCTACAACAGTAAATAAATAAACAGAAATCATTTTGATGCATGGTTTTTAGACGACACTGCCATATCGCACAGATATTCAACACCACCATATCCGATTTGGACCATACCATTTCAAGCTGCAGGGTGTCTAAACAATGACTCAACAAACAATAAACACATCTTCCACCCACCACACAAATTTTAGCCACAATTAAACAACCAAGAAAGCAACAAATATCAGGCTGCATCTTGAAAACAACGAGATACCGCATTACAACCAGTCATTACAAACATGAAATCCTCCACCCCTCCCAGTACACCCTACAGCATTAATGGTTCCTATACTCATTTGCATCTATGTACAACAAGCTTAGCCAATAGATGCACCTGACTCATCAAACTTTTGACCAACCACTCATTCTAAATATTGTGGAGTGAGGGCGCTATTTACTAATGAGAGGAATCTTTTAAACGAATTAAACAGATATATATATATATATATATATATTGTTTTCTCAATGTTTACGTAACAATTCATGTTATGAAGAAGATATACTATTAAAAAGATGTTTTGATGGTATTATGAATTTTAAATGTGTTTTGATTCCCATATGCTAATGAGTGCAATGTAAAGCTCATTCTGGGTGTAAAAATAATACAATTATGTTACAATGTATGAATGTATTAAGGTAGCGGGACTATTATTTGCATACTTGTTTTCATCTTCTAATTGTGACTAAATGACTACAAATAGACCCGGGAAAGTATATATTTTTAGAATCGCCAGACTTCAAGCTTTTCACAAGTGTATTTTGCATGTCGGTATCTGCATTCTACGACGCGTTACTCAATCAAAGGTGAAAAATTACTTTTTCTGTAAAAAAAATAATTACGCATTTATGCTGGCCATAAGAAGTATTTTTTTTTCACTTTTCCTAGTTGTTCAATAGACTGGTAAATTGAATGTGTCTGGTCAATTTTATTCAAGCAACGCATTTTAAAAAATAGTGTGCGGAATTTCAATTACTGTTTTAATCCCATTGCCCCCAACTCAAACCAGAACTCGTTGGTAAATAATCGATGAAATAGTTTGTCTGGACACATTCAAGTTCCTCTCACTGTCACCTTAAAAGCTGTGAAAATTTGGTGTTAATCCGACGACAATAAGTATACGTTATTTTTTGTTAAAGACCTTGTATCTTGAAAAACTCCTAGAAAACGTCGATGAAGTCACAGCAAAGATTTTCAAGCTTGTTTATCTGCACAAGTGATTCGTTTTCCCATCAAGGTCTGTTTTAACATGTGTAGGGGCATCCAAATGTGTAAGGCTATTGGAAACCAAAACAAAATAAAGCAATGGGATAGCTATAATTGGATAAATTCGGCATATGAAAACACTAAAATCAATGATTTTTTTCAGTGGCTGTGTGACCTTGTGTCTGACACATTCATATGCAAATGACTAATCTGTGAAACAAACAGGGGCAGAGACAAACCACTCAAATGTTTGGAAACACTCATTGTGTGTCAGATAGCTACTGATAACACATCCTAACATTGCTTTGTCTTGAGTTAATCTTTGAAACTTATAGGCACACAAATTAAACCTGTGTTGTTGATTTTAGAAAACACTACTGAAGCTGCCTTGCTTCCCTTCAGAAAATCTACATTTTAACCAACTTACATGACATTTTAGGTTACGTTGACTTTGTCAGATGAAAGTTTATCGTGCATTTCATCAATTAATAAATAAATGTGAAAATCGTAATTTTCAACACAAATAATAGTCTCGCTACCTTAAAACAGTTTTATTAAGACCATACTTTGATCTGGATACATTGTACTTAAAATGTATTGACATTGTAGTCAATTAGCAATAATAATCTAGTAATCAAAACACAACATTTAAAAGCACTTTATCATAGTATTTTATAAGATGCTGAATTGTTCGAGTTACGAACATCAAGTTACGAAAACATAGTTAGAAAAATGACCATGCCCATATTTCAGAAACCACGCCCACTTTTGCAAAACCACACTCAAATTGTTCACTGAACTTTGAATTATGGGCAACCTATTTTTTTGTTTTTGTTGAACATCCAAATTTAGTAACTCAAACTTTAATTGACAGTTACCCGAACTTTGAATTACAGCCAACATATATATTTTTGTTTCGCTTACTGTAAAATACTTTATTTTAGCTGGAATTAATTTTCACTGAAAAGATATTTTTGGTGCTTTGTATGGAATTTATTTTCACTGATTTTTGACAAGTTGAATGTAAAATATAGGAAAAAAAGGTATATTCGCTGGTTTTTATTTTCACTGGTTCATTCCTTCAGCGAAAATAGCGAAAATTAATTCCAAGCGAAAATAAAGTATTCTACAGTAGTGTTGTATATTACCTGTTATTTGAAGTTCAGTGAACAGATAATGAAAATTTGAGTTTTGAACGTTAAACAAATCAAAAAATCTGTTACCCGTAACTCAAAGTTTGGTTAACTGTTAATTGAACATTGAGTTACAATTTGGGACGCGGTTTTGCAAAAGTGGGCGTGGTAAATTTCGTAACTCGAAAAAATTTTGCTCACTATTTACCACAAGATTAAGTGAGCAAAATTCTGCTGACTTACAAAATTTTGTAAACTCACCGTTTACCTACACCTTTAACAATGCTTTTGTATTTCCATTGCAGCTCTCAAAATTATCTCGGATAGAAATAACTTGCCAGCTCTGATAAACTGCGCCCATGGAAAAGACCGGACTGGTATTTTTGTTGCCCTTCTTCAAAAATTAGTTGGAATGTCTCGAGAAGCGGTTTGTGAAGACTATGCTCTATCAGAGGTGAGTATACTGTGGAATACTTTATTTTCGCTGGAATTAATTTTCGCTGGAAAGGCTTTTTGGGCGTTTTGTATGGAATTTATTTTCACTGATTTTTGATGAGTGTAATGTGAAATATAGGAAAAAAAGTGTATTCCCTGGATTTTATTTTCACGGAATCATCCCTCCAGCGAAAATAGCGAAAATAAATTCCAAGCGAAAATAAAGTATTCCACAGTATCTATTTTCATGTAAGTACTGTATTTTAGCGATCTTGAATTGGTACTTGTGTGTATCATTATTTTTAACAATACAACATTTTTGGTAAAAATTTTCACCGGAATGCAATTGCAGAAGCTGTCATTCACAGATTTGTTTAGTGAATTTCAATACATGATGAAGGTGATTTAAATCGAATCTTCATCACTAAACTGTGTAGAGTCGTAAGTCATCATTTGTACAATTGTGTAGCATATATTATATTTTTTGCTGATGTTTTTTTATTCCAGACATTATTGGCTCCTATCAGGAGTCGAGTTCATGATGAAATCGTCAAGAAGTTTGATTTTTCAGAGGATTTCATATCAGCTAGGCCGGAAACAATGGCATCTCTATTGGACTATATTGACGAAAAGTGAGTGCTGTTTATTTAACCACTAAGCCACACAAAACAGTTTTTGAAATTATTTTTCGATTTTTTTTGTTATGCGACTGTTAGCTCATATTTGCATATTACAGTCATTTGTGGTTATCGAGGAGACAGCTGTTGCATAATTTACTGGAGTAAATATTTTACTAAATTAACTATTTATTTTTTACAGATATGGGTCAGTTGAATCCTATCTGATATCCATTGGTTTTACACAAGAAGACCAAGACGTGTTGCGAAAATACTTCTTGCTAATTAATTGGTCGGTTAAAGGTCAAGGTATTAAAGGTTATTGGTTAGGGAGAATCCATTCAAAGTTAGGGGACGATAGTCGTGAAAACACAATGAAATTTTTAAAACTGCAATAATGTTGAAGCACCAAGACACGAAATCACCTTGTTACAAAATGTCTGTATTTTAGAAACCATGACTTTCTTTTACAAAATCATGCCTAGTTAAAATTAAGTGTTCACTAAAATTACGATTAATAATTATTAAACAAAACTGGTCAACTGAACTTTTAGTTTCATGGTTAGTGAACTGTTAATTAAAGTTAGTAAATGTGTGGACATTAAACAAACAAAAAAATCCATGTTGCCAGTAGCTCACTGTAAAGTTAACTATTATTCAAAGTTCAAGTTAGTAAAAATAATTAACAGAGAATGGTTAATTGAACATAAATTTTTAATTCAGGCACGATTTTAGAAAAGTTGACATACCATGGGCATCAACATTTTTGTAAACTTTGTGGTTTTGTAGCTCATATTGTGTAATTGGCTGAGATCAATTCAAAATTAAAGTGATATATTTGTTGTGTAAACAATACACTGTAGAATGCTTTATTTTCGCTAAAAGAATGAATCAGTGAAAATAAAATCCAGCCAATATACCTTTTTCCCGATATTTTACATTCAACTCATCAAAAATCAGTGAAAATAAATTCCATACTAAAACACCCAAAATGTCTTTTCAGCGAAAATTAATTCCAGCTAAAATAAAGTATTTTACAGTATTTTGCATGCCTTGTGTGCATCACATGGGACTGAATTTGGACAGAAGCGATGCAAGGATGTGGTGCATTAATATTCACTTCAAATTGTCATGGCAACTCGTACCATTCAGGGACTTTTGACAGTTGTGAATATAATCATTGAGTATTGATAATAAGGATGTATTTAAGTAATAAGGATAACAAAATAAATCTCAAATTTGACCAAATCAACTTAAAATTTGTTTTAAATTAAAAATTGACAATTTTACAATTAAATATTAGACTTTTTGAACTCTTGAACTCTTCGATATTCCAAGCTTTTGCTTTTACCAGTCACCAATGGATTAGTCTACAAAAAGTTTTTTGTCATTTTCATCAATTTTAATTTATCAATTAACTTCACCCACAAGAAGGTTAATCAGAAAGACATACATGTATTTTAGTTTGCCAACATGAATCTTAATTTGCAAAGTGATTAAACATGTTAGGGATTGGCTTAAAACTAACAATGCAGTATTCGTCTACATCACTAAAGCACTTTTATCCATAAGTAAACCCAAGGATCATTGATGTTTATTTTTTTATTTTATTTAGAATTATAATTGACAAAACCATAGATGGACTTTAAAATCAATAATAATTGGTATGCAGAGAACAGGTGTAGAGAAGAGTCCATATGTACTGAACCATGGCAGTTAAAATCCTAATTCAATCACAGACCTTCAAAGGGACTGTAGTCAAATGTAAATAAACTTTGGAATTTGAAATATTCAGAAATTAAAATCTTCTTACATGCTTTTAAAAAATCTAAATGATGAAGCTTTAAGTTATTCCAGGTTTTTTTCCCATCCAAAAATAGTTGCCAAAGGTGTAATCATAAATCAAATTCTATAAAACTGTGTGTGAGACTTGAAAAAAATCAGTGGTTATGTTTAGACAGTACCCGATAAACCACAGTGACATGCATTAAATATTTTTATAACAAATTATTGTGATAGTAAAATAAAATACTATATATGGAAGTTAAATATTAGACGTGGTTGCATAATGCCAGGAATCAACAGACCCATATAAAGTGTGTATGGGTAAAGTTTTAATGTAAATCCATCCAGACATGTCATGGCTTTGGAACAACATTTTTGACAACAAAAATAGCTGCCAGTCGGTCTCTTTCTCTCAGATCGGTAAAATAAAATGACGTGTATCAAGTTGCCACCTGTTCAATGTAATACCAAGCACAGGAAAATGGCAGAAATATTTAATGTTGATGTATTTCTAGCTTTAAAATGGCCACCAATCGGCTATCTTGAATTGGATCATGAAATGAATGAATAGATGTGCATATATGTGCTATAAATGTCTGAAGTTTGCAAGCACTTGAACTATAAATCCTGATCTACAAATCCCATTTATTGTTACTTTAGTGTTTTATTTTTGAAATCTCAGTACTAAAAACTCTGAAATTTTGCTTCTTTTGAAAATTTGACTACATAATTATTTGCTAGAATTTAGTAATATATCGGTTTAAAATTCTGTTAGATTACTAATTGTTTTGTTTTTTTAATTCTTCAAAATTTCATTTATTTTAGCAAAATATAATTTATATAAAATTATTGTATAATATATCGAAGTTTATTATATTCAGTTCACAGATTTACTTCTTGAACAAATATCAAAATTGGATTAAAATACACTGGGTATGCATGGATGGATGTTAGAATATGTCACATTTTTGTTTTGCTACACTTTCACAGAATTTTGTCTTCTTTGTATAATTTACATATATATATATATATATATATATATACATACATACATACATAGCTTTTCATGTGCTAGTTAAGAAAGGATGAGACACAGTTGGCGAATACAATCAATTTTTTCCTGCTGGGAATTTTCATGATTCAATGGTCTTTAGAATTCCCAGTGAAATTTTCACTTCAAAAACAATTTCACTAAAATTCATGATTATTTGTCTCTTGCATAATTGACACAATTCACGGTAACCAAATGACCTTTGACATAAATGGCCGCCGAGATCTCATTGAGAGTGAGAGAACCTAGAAATTTGTTTTTGCCTCAAATATTCTTCCATTCTCACCCGACATTGTGTCCACCATTTCCTTTACATTTGTAACCATGGCGGGGAGGGGGGGGGTATATTTTGGCATTCAAAAATATTACAGGGTATTAAAAATATTAAATCTGTAATTTTTACTACCGGTACTTGCCGCTGAGCTGTATTATTTGTTTGTCCACATCGAAATGCAGGGTCTAACTCTGTGATTTACCTTGAATACAAATGGAGACTGATAATTTATTTAATATAGTAAATATTTCTATTAATATTTTGGCAATTACTAAGAAAAATTTTCATATTAATGTAATCATAATATAAATGTAGTTGTATTATTTTCAATTCAAATTACAATTCAACATCTAACTTATTACATTTTCCCCAAGTACCTTTTCATCTTTATATTTGTATCATAGTTTTCCATATTCCTGTATCAAGCATACGGCGGAGACCCCTGGTGGGCAGTGCAGGACAGGACAGGACAGGACAGGACAGGACAGGACAGGGTTTGTTTTTTTTCCCATAAAGACTCAGTTTTCCAGGAATGTGCTGCCTTAACTGAGTAATGTGTCAATGAAAAATACCTGAACGCATGATTATCGATAATTTTAAATTTAACAAATGATTGGGTGTAAGACTGATCTCACTAAATGGTAAAATTTATAAATCACTAAACACTTACCGTAAGATAGCAATTGTGCATAAATGTGTTCTTTCACATAATAGATTGCTTCTCTGAAACCTTTGTACACAATTCAAAATTAAGAATTTTTCAAGTTTTTCAATATGTTGTTTTCGTTGAGTCTTTTCTTAGGTTGTAATTTAATGATAGCTTTGTAATTTCTTCATTACTTTTAGATCAAATAAACACAACTCTCCACGGCCTGAAGGTCTTGATCAAAGTCGGTGTACAAATAAAAAAGTTAATGTCTCAAAAACCTCAAGTGTACAGTGTTTGACCTTTGGTTGGAGTGTCACAATTTAACATGTGGTCATAGTTAATCTCAAATGTATTTACTATATAACCAGTTTGAATTGCTGCTCAAAGTTGAAATTCTGCTGGAATAGCATTTCCATATATTCAGATTACATTTATACATTACTGTATATTAAATATCAGACTTTAAATACCTGTATTCTAGTATTTTTCACTATTAAATAATGAAGTAATAAAATGTATTATAATCATGTAATGAATTTTTTTATATTGTGTGTATAAAATGAACAATCTTGTGATGTGTTTTCTTTCCTTCGTTTTGTATGTACCTGGTACAACGTTTATTATTTTTGACCAACATGTAATTAGCCAAATTGATTTCACATTGCTCTGAAAAACATTTGTGCCAAATTTTCTGTGTTAAAAAAAGCAGACAACTATAAATATAGTTGTTCGAAATCGTTAAATTTTGTAGCCGTGAATATTTCACAGGTTTTCATTTGTCCATGTGGATGCTGTGACTGTTCATAAACCATCAAATTGCATAAAATGTTAGCTCTGCACTGTTAACTCATCAGATAGTTGTTGAGGTTCAAAGGACTAAAGTGCAGTGTGGGCTTGAATTTTTTTTTTAATCTGTATAAACTTGCCATGTATTTTTCTTATTTTCAATAGCATTTTTTCAATACAATATGTCCTGATTTGATGTCCCTGAACTGAAAGACTATTTAAGTGGGGGGAAAAAAGGATCCTTCGGCAGACCATGCTGAGGCCATTGGCCAAGACCCATTTTGTCATGATAGGAATTAGACTAAGTACAATAGTTTTACCGGTAATCTGATTCAGATCAACATCTCAAATCTGTTGGAAATCTAGCGATCTATACAATACATGTAAACACAAATTATCAACACGCACTGCACATCGACCGTTAACGCTTAAAAACAAGATGCACTTTTGGAAAATATTGTTTATCAGTAATGCCTAGATACACTGCTAGAAATGTCTTATTACCCACAGTGCACTGCAGTATATCCATTTATCAAAAATGGCTTTGTAGCTAATCACTAGCTGTGTAAAGTGAGTGAAACGCTACATACATTCTAGAATAGTAGTTTCGTACGCATATTAAATAATTGTAACACTGTGCTGTTACTTTACAGAGCATCTGTATTTACAGTTGCCTCTATACACCGCAGAACTTCCCCTACATAGCTGCTACTCATTGAGTAGACTCCACATGCAATTAATGTTCTGGGGGGGGGGAGTACGAGGAGCCTCCATACAAACATACCACAGATCATGTATCCCATATTACAATTGCTTTTATTATGTACAGTTTATAGTTACCAAAAAAATATGTAAATTATCAACATCCAACATTGTTCACCATTACCATAGAAACTGACAAGTTGACAGAAGTAATAAAAAAAAGGTTAGCACTGTTAGCCATGACAACACTGACAGTAATGTACCCATCATTAAAAATACCTTCATATTTAAGGTATTTTGAACCTGGTAATATAAAGTATCTAAATATAACAACTTTGTATAATTAATATACTGTGCTTTTCTTACATTATAAATAGTAATATTTATAAACTTTCAACAAGTGTAGGGCGCATGTTTTTAACCAATCACAGAGCTGCTTTTCCTCTGTGTATTGAATACACAACCTTTCAGTAAGCGAGGCGACATGTAAATAAAATAGTTCCTCCTCGTTCTATCATGTAATATAAATATATACTGCCACATATTTATTGTAAGGCCTGGTGTGAAATTACATAACAAATAATGAAAGTTGATTATTCTATTAGGCTAGTTCCATGCAGAGATAAGATGTCTGATTGTGTTCGTATGCATGGAATGTCAAACCTGTGTTTTTATAAGAACGCATTTATCAAATGTAGGGTAAACATTTTGCATTGGAAGCAATTTATACTGCTTTAGTTTTTAAAACTGATTTCCAACTCAACAAATTTCGAGAAGCCATAGATGGAAAGGAGAATTTCTGATATGTCCCATTAGGTTTATAATTACCAACAAATGACCCCTTAGGTTTATAATGGCCCAACAAATGACCCCTTAGGTTTATAATGGCCCAACAAATGACCCCTTAGGTTTATAATGGCCCAACAAATGACCCCTCAGGTTTATAATGGTCCAACAAATGACCCCTCAGGTTTATAATGGTCCAACAAATGACCCCTCAGGTTTATAATGGCCCAACAAATGACCCCTTAGGTTTATAATGGCCCAACAAATGACCCCTCAGGTTTATAATGGTCCAACAAATGACCCCTCAGTTTATAATAGCCCAACAAATGACCCCTCAGTTTATAATGGCCCAACAAATGACCCCTCAGTTTATAATGGCCCAACAAATGACCCCTCAGTTTATAATGGCCCAACAAATGACCCCTCAGGTTTATAATGGCCAACACTTGACCCCTCAGGTTTATAATGGCCCAACAAATGACCCCTCAGGTTTATAATGGCCAACAAATGACCCCTTAGGTTTATAATGGCCCTAACAAATGACCCCTTAGGTTTATAATGGCCAACAAATGACCCCTTAGGTTTATAATGGCCCAACAAATGACCCCCTAGGTTTATAATGGCCCAACAAATGACCCCCCTAACTCTATAATGCTGAGGATATGCTACCCTATCTTTATAATGCTGAAAATATGACACCTGCCAACTCTACAAGGTAGGGCTCCCTAGCTTCATATGCTGAACATACGACATCCCTACCAACACACACATATGGCTTCCTAGCTTTATAATGCTGCAGATATGTGCCCCTTGACTCTAAATGCATTGTACTGAAACTATGGTCTTTTCTAAAGGAACACCCCCCCCCCACCCCCGATGACCAAGTCTTAATACTTCATTTGCCATTCGCTGTGTCATTTCACCTACATAGACTAGTGTGTTGTGATCAATCTAATACAATATAGGTAACGATACCATTTCCCTCACGAGGGCTGACTCCCTAAAATTGAACAACAAAATTCCACATATTCAACAAATACAGGCTTGATAAAAAAAAAAAATGATATGTAGTACGATTGCACAGAATGGAAATTACTTGCAAAAGAAAACTTCCACAAATTATAAATTGCAGAAAAAAAGTTCCACTCATAGAATCCAATTTGGAAGAGGGTTGCTATCTGTTTTGAAAAAGAAAAAAAAAAAAAAAATAGTTTTACAAGAAACTCTTCAACAGCAACGTAATTGGTAAATACTTGAAATTGACAAAATTAATATATACATCGCTTTCTTGCCAAGATGGCAGTTATTGAGATAATAAAATTGGGTGGGGGCGTTTCTGCTGTTTCACACCTATGAAGATTCTGTATCGAAAAAAAAAAACGATTCTTCTTAATTAATCACTGTAGTTATTTTCAAAATTACAGTATTTGCGCTATTAGAACCAAATCTGTAATAGACAAGCATGTATACCAACAATCTCACTTGCATTCAGGACCAGTAAAATATTTTGACCACAGGCCAACCTCACAGGCCAACAAACGCTATTAATAGTGAAAATAGCGTATATACCTTATTATAAATAAGAATGTACAATTTAAAATAGTTTCTCTTCAAAATAATCCAAAACTATTATATTATTTACCGATCACTATAGGATGCTTTTATTTGCTCGATTGGGTCTGGACGACCTTTGGGCAAATAAGGTGCTCTGATTGAGAATCTGTATGCACGCACACGTACACGTACAAAATAAAATCAAGCATGTTTCTTTCTTCCCGTCAAATCTGCATCAGACAGTCTATTCAGGAGATGTTTTATGAAAAGTATGTGACACACTTGATAGCACGAATGTAAATATACGATCATAATACGAATATGCCGGTATAGGCCAGCCACCAGAGTAGTAATTCGGCTCAGAATATTAAACAAACCAAAATGCAGATGACTGGCGAAAAGTAGATTAATGATATCCTTGCAGAATTAGTGGAAACAACATAATACAAATTTTACTTGTTAATCGCCAGTTAACTTTTGTCAAAATAAACCAGACAATTTTTTTCAACAAATTTGATCAAGTTCTATGTCTAGTTGGTCCAAATTTAACAAAGAAATTTCAGAAAATGACATAAAAAATGTTGCATACATTCATACAACAAAATTGGTCACATACTAGTCCACATTTATAAGCAGATTATATATAATCTCCTTCCTTGAACATGGAAAAACACAGGATTTTAAATTTACATTAGGAAAATAAAACTAAAATATAAAATATGGTAATTTAACTTCCACCTTGCTTTGTTTTTTAAGTAACTAAGATGTGAGTCATTATAAAAATTATACATCGAAGGCTTGAGCTTTGAAAAGCGAGTAAAGACATAAATTTAGTCTCAACATTAATAACCCAACTTCACAACTGACTCAATTTTACTAAAATATGGAAATTATCTTGATTCTTAGGGCAGGCAGGGAGTGAGAATTAATAATATACTGGCCACCAGAGGGCAATACCAATTCAACCTAGTTCAACTACAGATGGCACTATTCATGTTCCTCATCTGGTCAGTATTTCCGAGGCCCTCGATGTTGTTGTTGTTGTTGTTGTTCTCGGTCATCCCTCTCATCATCACTGCTGTGGTGTACTCTTCTTGGTGACCCGCACGTGGCCTGCATCAACTCGGCGTCAGGTCCCCCTCGGTTTTCGTACAGTAGGATGTTCAGCGTTTCCTCATAGATTCTGGCTTCCGGGAATTCAACCTGACAGAGAAAGAGATGTCTTCATGTCTTAAATTGTAATAATGGTTGTTGACAGGTCAGATTAAGTCTATCTCAAATTCCGTACTCCAGTGCAACCCCGCCGTGGGTGGGCCAGTGACATTGTTTTGTTGTTGTTGTGTTGTTGTTGTTTTTTTTTTGGGGGGGGGGGCTGTATGAGAGCTTTCTATACATGGGTTTGAATGAAGTCAAAGTTTGTGTCACTAAATAAAACATTTGAGCCACGTGTGTATGTTGCTATGGGTTGTATAACATCCCTATCTAACACACATAGTTTTGCCATTACTTTCCATCCCTATAACCACATTGCCTGCTGGAAGCCTCCATAGATAGCCGAAATGAACAGAAAAAAAAATGGCAGCAGCAGATGATATGTTTAGAACAAAGATGAAAACAATTATTTTGGCGTTTGGTTTACCATGAACTTTGGATATAGACAGAAGTATGTTACTAACCTTTGTTTGTTTCTTCTCTGTGGCATAAACTATCGAAGTACAACTAATTTCGCCAACTTTACGTCCATGACCATAAAACGTCCAGCAACAGATCTCTTCGTTACGACCGATGATGTCTTTGATAAATAGAACTCTCCCGTTAAACCTCAGCGACAACTTGTCGAATAGTTCTATATTTTTCAGTAAATTGTCATCGGAGTTGCTGAAATATGGATAAATTTATAAATTAGTTACCCCTACTCTTGTCAAGTTAAGGGATTAATTCGATATGTATGCCGCTCAGCTGAGATAGCTTCGCTGTTAGCAATGCACATTATAATTAAAGAATTGAAAATATCATCACAAAATAAACAAATCTGAGAGCAATTCACCTGTAGTACCTCTATGTATAGCAACAAGAAGTCGAAAATATAATTTTTTTACTAAAAATTACAAAAATATTTTTTTAAATTAGAGAATTAAAAATATCCTCATGAAATGAACAAATCTAAGTAAGATCTATCCAAGGTGCATACTAGTATGTACCAAGTATCAGAGCAGTCAGGCTTGTAGTTTTCAAGAAGAAGTCGAAAAAGAAAAAAGTTGACGCAAATGATGACGGAGAACAAACATCAACGGGAAATCCCTGATGATAAGCTCCACTTCACAAAGTCAACAGCGGAGCTAAAAACAGAAGTCTCTTATACAATGTGTGAACTATTAGGAATAGTGACGACGACAGAAGACTTAAAGCGAGAGGGTCATCACCTGCACATTCGCGGGAATTGAGTCCCAAGCGATGATATCAACACATGCTAAAAACATAAAGGCTCATGGGCAGATGCTTGTTTGTAAACAATGACACGCTATGGCCATCTGACGCATGCGCAGGTGACGACTCCCCCCTGCTTTAATAGTATTCTTTTTATGTTTAATAATAAATACTAACTTACCTTGTGTAGGAATATTTGTTGTTTTGTCTGTTGTATAATAATTTGACTATTGGCTGCAATTAAAATGAAAAAAATTAATTAAAGATTGCAAATGAAATGCCTGGTTGATTTGACAAGCAGGGATTTGCTGTCATGTAACTTGTATGCTAATACCGGTCACTGGTAGCATAGTGGTTGTCGCATCAGACTTATGATCGGTAGACCCAAGTTCAAATCCTAGGGTCGACCCCTACCCTGGGTGAGTATGCCACAGACTCGATAGAAAGGCCAATTCCACTGGCCGAGATTCATTCACTAACGAATGCGACTTTGGGGGAACCTTGGTTAAGGCCCGCAGGTGCTTGTGTTCGACCGAGCCTGGTTGACGCCAGAATAGCGCATTAAAAATTGCCATTTGATGGAGAGATGGCCACACGGCCCTGTCATGTAGTCCTAAACATGAATATGACTTCTCTGGCAAAATGCACTATGTGTCAGCACTGGCACTTGCAATTTGCACATGAAAAAAAAGTCAGGAGAGACAACAGTGATACTTATTGTGACAGTAATACTCATACTCGTTAGAAAAAAATAAACTTGTATGCTAGGTACATTAATGACAACTGAAAATCATACATTGATATAGTATAGGGTGAGATAAGTGGCAAAAAGATTTAGCATTAAGTTATATTCATTATTTTAGAATATGATTGTTTTTAGGCATTTTTTTATTACATTTTGGTTTTTTTAACATTAACATTTTTGATTCTATTTTTTTTTCTTTTGATCATTTTCTGTTCTGAATTTTTTGGTTTTTATTGGCATTTTGGCACTGATAATATAGGGAGCAGACTGTGTATGATGGTTTGAACATGGTTGATACTTGATAACAGGAAGCAGGAAATGAAAATGTATATGATGTCACATCACCATAGGAGCAGAAGACTTGTACCGGTATGTAGTTCCATGTGGTCAGTCTGCGAATATATTACACACAAGTACCAATATACAGTATAAACATTTCACAATACTGTATTTGCTCTAGTAGTGGTGCATGCGCTGACATAAATAACAGAGATGTTGTGTCAAAGGTCAAAATATGTCATATTTTAATGATCCTGCCTACAATAAATGCATTTTCTGTTTACATTAAAAGACACAAAAAATGACAGGGTAGACTTGTTTGTGGCTTCTTTCCTCCAAGTCCCTGAAAATAAAAATCAGAATGGCAAGCTTTCCATACTTTCCATACTTCACAGTAAATGCAAGGACACTAATAGGAATATTGTATATTATTATACATCTGTCACCGTAACATCATAAATTACAGCTTGCCGTAATTTTGCAGTATTTTACAGAGTATTTTCATCCTACCATATAAAGAAATGCGAATTCCAAATATGGAATGATTACGCGTGTACCTAAGCGTCCACTAATGATAAAAACAAACATGGCTGCCACTAGGGTTTGATCAGACTCCACACAAAGAAGTTTGATGTTTCTGTTCTAAACAAACAGTACACCTTTGCATCGACCTCCGCTGCATGTCAGTCGATACTGTCGCTGTACTGTCTTCGTGCATACTTTGAGGTATCCTCGTAATAACCTCATATTAGCAGCACATGTGATTTACTGGTGTGTCTAAGACAAATAAAGTCATATTTTAATGATGCAGTATACATTAAATAGCATTTTGGGTTTATGTGCACTTCTATTTGAGATGTGCTTCTAATAGAGTAAATATTGTAGTGACATTAACAGTAGCAGTACCAGGAACTCTGCAGCAGCATAAGAGATTTGAGCAAAGCCCTGTCAGCATCGATCACCAGGAGTAGTGTTTAAAACATATACCGTATTTGCTCTATCAATAGCGAATACACCCATGTAGAAAAGGACAGTGTTGCCTCTATGGTCAAAAAAAAGTAATATTTTAAGAATCCAGCTACATAATTAAATGCAGTTTTTGGGAATCAGAGATTTGCCTCCAATAGAGTAAATACAGTATAGTGTTATGTTACAAGTGCGGCTTTTCAACATTGCTTAACACTGACCTTATTTGATGATGTAATAAGATTATCTTCCTCTCGCAATGACGTAATGACGGGAACTCGACAAATTGGATCTACTTCTTGTTTTTTCTTAAGAAGGTTGAGTTCACACTGTTCAACAAGACCCTGTGCAAGGTAATACTTAGCTTCCTGTAATAGTTCACTAATCTCTCGTTTTGATTCTGGCAGCGGTACTGATCCATCCCTGAGGTAGTTTAAAATGGATCCAAAATGCTTACCAGCTCTGTCTATCAGGATCCAACCTTGGGTGAAAACATTGCAAGAAGATTAGTCTTTCACTGAATATTGCCAATTACCATGACACTATTATCTTAAATTAGAGAATTGAAAGTATTATCACAAAATGAAAGCATCATCACGTTAGGTTGAAAATGTCATTTTTTACCAAAAATTGTACCAAACATCAAGGGCCTAGGAAATACTGACCAGATGAGGAACTTGAATATTCATCAAAATCAGAAACTTGATGATGTGGTCATGAAATGGACAAATCTGAGAAAAGATTCAATCAGGGTATATACTAAGTATCAAACCAATCAGACTCGCACTTTTCAAGAAGAAGTCAAATACAAATAGTTGACATGGAGACCATGGCGAACAATCAGTACTGTGAAATGCTTTATTTTAGCTGGAATTTTTTTCGCTGAATAGACATTTTGAAATCTAATATCACATGGTCCCAATTTTTTTATAGGATATGCTATTTGCAATTTTTGTATCTAAACTATTAAAGTGTATGTCTCCAGTATCTTAGGTGTGTATCAGCTTCTTTGTTATGCAGTGACCCAATGACACTACTGACAAAGCATCCATGCCTGGAAATTAGGACACTCATGAGAAAGAAGCATATAAAAATTTAGGTCAAACAGGAACTTGTACCAGTAGACTACCATATATATATACTGTGTATAGCAACCACCCAAGCGACTTAATTAAAATGATCTTTATAGACAGGTCATCTCTATATAGATGTTTGATTATTTTTTTTACAGATAGCCAAATTGTAAATTTGACTTAATATGTTTGTCCAGAAAATAGTCAGATGGTACTGTGGCAACAAAAACAAATTGATTTGAGTTAATAAAAATCAAATACAGTTTAAGTTACAGAAAGTTAAAAATTTGTATTTGTATATAAATGAAATACTAATGACGAAATGCTAATGGTCACTAACTGCACATGCATGATTTCAATGAAAAATGCCAAAGCATGTCAAAGATATTTTTAACAAACAAAGAAGGCTGCCCGTCACCTGTCTTTTCTCTAAATTTCCTGCCAAATCTAAAATTAACCATTATGTCTCACCTTGGTATACAAATTTAAAGGGTCGTAGTCGTGGCGCCACACATGCGCAAGATTAAGGGTCTCATATAAACAAAGATGCTGACTTTGGCTGTTGCGCAGATCAACGAGTACAAACTGAGACCATGGTTTATAGTTCTGTGCTGAGACATTACCAAGCTTTAATTAGGTATTTTTTTCGGTGATTGGAAGGTATCGAAGGAGTCACCAGCAGTAATTAGTACAAGTTGCGCCCAGATCAAACCTCATACTTGTGATTTCTATTAGATGAGTGGAAATTGGATTGTGGGAAAATCAATGTTTACCAACACAAATGTCTCGCATGCATGTAGCGTGATGACCAATACCCTTTAAACCAAATTTGTAAAAATATCTCGTGAAATAAAATTTTGTGCATCGGGGATGTCAATGAGTGATGTCAATGTCAACTTTGAATGAAATCGGTCACGAGATGTCTGAGAAATGGTTGATGACACGTTCAAATGTAGTTTCTTGGTGGGTCTTTTGGGTGGGGGAGGGTTTGGGTGGCCACCAGTCAACAAAATCAAAACAAATCAACATGCATATGTCTTCATTATGACTTGTCTTTGCATCAATTTTGAGCAAAATCAATCCAAGCATGACCATGAAACAGAAACCAGAAACCCTTCAGCACTTGCGTAACTAAGAAATCAACACAGACAACAAACTCTTATTGACTAAACTAACTGAACAACAACAACAACAACAACAACAACAACAACAACAACAACAAAACACTTCCTTGAATGAATTTTTTGTGTGTCAGTAATTCCTAATTATGACTCAAGAAATGCAGTTATATATCTTAAGAATTTGCTGACCAGTGTAAAATGATATCACATTGGCCGGAGTGAGTCAGGGTGTCACACCCCACCCATCATAACAATGGTGTCTAAAAATAGATTAGTATACGCATCTACTGGAATTCCCTAACCCTACATTCCTCTTATCTGACCATGTAAACGCATTTTCGGGTAAAATACTATAATACAACGTGTATACGATGTAAAATATTGTTGGATATTCTATATAATCGAAGTTAAGAGTATGTTACGTGTTGGCAAGGTATATGACAGGTGACGTTGTTTTAAAACGTTCTGAATACAAGAACGAATTGCCAGTCAATAAAATCACAATATTATTGTATTAAGTTATTATTCGTGTTATAGGTAATTATATGTAGTAATGAACAATATGCAGTGGCTCTGGCAAAAGATCAACGATTATTTTTAAATATTAACGTTTTGTGATTGTACGTGTACGTGACGACAACATGGACAACCTACCTTCTGAATCTGTCAACACCTCCATCCTACCGCTGAACATCGCCCTAAGCATGTTATCTTGTTTCGTTAAAGTGTCTAGCGTCGTGTAATAAAGAGCTCCACCGACGTTAAGTTTAACATATTTGCTAGGACTGACCGTGGCAGTGGCGGCCGCTTCCATAGTGGACGACGACGAAGACAACCTTGGCTGCGGGCGGCTGTGCGGTTCGCCAGACATTTTGGACGAACCTTGGTTGACAAGAGGGAAAACTCGTATTATTGTGGCGTACACGGATTTGATGTCTCGACTAACACTCGTAGCAGTTAATAAGCTATTATCCGATGTGTAAAGTCTATTTTGGGACGAGTGACGTTTGGCAACGCAGATGTTTTACCGCTTGTCTCAGTACTTGTGGTTTCAGGATTACGAGCCGAACAGACACATATCACACCCTATGACGTCATCGTAGAAAACACCCTTCGGGTTAAAGGTCACTGGATCAAATAAAGGACGCCCTCAAAGAAATGTCGGGCGTGTTTATAAATAACGTAAACAAAACGATTGTGCCGTCCATTATCGGTGCATGGTTGAGCCATGAACCAAAAACCTGACATATCAAATATAGCTGCAAATGCAATATAATTTGAAACTGTTTTAAACTGAAAATAAAGTCGGATTTTAAAAGTCAAATGTGCGTTTCAAAAATGTAGAAAGTTCAAAATGATTAAACATTAAACTTTACCATTTTTGAACCACGTGTGTTTGATCTTTTTGAAAGTCAAGTTTTAAAACGCCAGAAGGGCATTATTTACAATTCTGGAAATATGGCAGGGGTTTGTTTATATAAGGGGGTACCCGTTGACAATCAAAGGGTTGGAGGATATTTTTTTATATGGAAATATTTTACACATTTTTTGCCTAATAAGTTATTATGAATGTTCTCCCATCTCAAAATGTCATCTTTCCCTTTTTCATCCCAGACATGTCTCTTTTAGCTGCCCACGCCAAATGAACTTGTTCGTTACCTCCCGCATGGTAGCAGAGCAACAACAAAAAACACCTACAATGTGATATTATCGCATTGCTAACTTGTATATATAACAAAAATATATAATAATATGATTTTTTGAGATATGAAAATTAGTTAACCAATTAGCATTGTTTTCAATCTTAAACTACCGTGTAATCACTTTTGTGGATTATTCATTAACATATCAAGTTTCATTGATATACAACAAACATCACAATTGCGTGAAATTAGTCAGATCGAAACGTGTCCCAGTGTCCGCGACAGGATTTGTAAACGGTTATGTTTTGGTTAGTTGAGTAGACAATTATGATAAACAAATACATTGTAGCAAACATAACACCCAACCGTCCACTGCACGTAATATAAATCGGTGACGGCTCGTAAATGTTGTATTGGCGACGCACATTTGTGTTAGGCTAGCTCTTCTGTGTCGATATAAATCCTAATGTCTGAAAACAACAAATTTGATGACATCAACTAAAAAAACATCACAAAGACTAAACGCCGACACACAAAAAGAGCAACAATAGCTAAATCAAACTGTTACCCTCGTTAAAACACGGTATATCTCTTTCTGGAGAACGTGGTGGCCCTAAAAAGGGCAGTTTTGTACAGTTTCTGAGCTAAACGAACAGATATCCCGTTGCACTGAAGAATGATCTAGTGTCAGCTAGTGTAATTTCCTCAATGGCAGAGCATATAGAATATGGAAAATTTTCGAAGCTGATTAAAGACAACGGTAGTCGCTCTAAACACCTTTTTATTTTGTTAAAACAAAATTTCCCGGACTATTG